ACCAGGGAGAGGACATTCCATAGTCTGGCAGGCATTACCTTGTGACTATCTTGTGACTCTGAACTTCTACACTTCCTGGTTTCTGGAATCTGAACTGACTGGTTTCAGTAACTAATGGCCTATTCCCAAAAGGAGAAATCTTAGGCCTTAGTTTTTGGGTGAAAGCATTTTGGTCTTATTTCTAAGATGGCTCATTTTGGTCTGACAATTTTAGAATTATTTTATAGTTGTATACTGATTTTCAGATTCTTTTCCTATTTTTGTGATGAATGCTATTGGTATTTTGGTAGTGGTTATATGGTTATGCAAATTTTAAGACAATGATTTTTCTTGATTAACTGACAGGGGTATCATTTCCTCATGGGTGGTGGTCAACACTATCTTCAGTCTTTTATTGTTTTCATTGTTGAGGTCTTTGGTTAAATTCATTCCTATGGATAATTTAGTTTTTATCCATTGGATTTCTTTACTGATAGCTTCTTTTCAGATAGTTCCACTGCTATTGGGTTTCTTTACTGGGTTTTAGTTTGGCTCACTCACTGCTATTGTGCAGCTGTGCTTCTGATGTCAATAAATTAGTGCGGTTTCCTGAGTTTATTTAAGATCTTGGTGGAATCCTTGGGAATTTCCACAGACAAGATCATACCCTGTGGAAACTGTCAGGGTGCGACTTTTCTTTCTTCTCACTGGATATCGTTTCTTTCTCCTCCTTGGCAATCCTGTGTGGGGTTTTCAGCATCGCACATAAGGGAAAGTCCACAGCCTTGATTCCTTTTCCATCTTGCCAGCTTCTTGCTGTCCCCAAAATTTTCTTCTCACATCCAGCTTCTACGGTCAGAGTATGTTCCTTTCATACCCAGAACCATCAGTGTCTTTATGATGAGGAAGAGCTGGGTTTTATCATACTATTTGTCTCCCTCCATAGAAGTAGTAGTAGTAGTAGTAGTAGTAGTAGTAGTAGTAGTAGTAGTAGCGAGACCATCTGTTTTCAAATGCGTTCTTTTGTTGTGCTGTGTCACCTTTACTGAGATGGGAATCTTGACACAACTTTGTGGTTTGAACTGAGTGGATTGCTCTGAATGTTTTCAATGTGCTCTCAGATTTGCCAGTAGAATCTCTCCTGGTTGTGTCTTTGGTTTGAGTATCAAGGACATGCTGGCTCCGGAATGTGCAATGGAGATAATTATTCCCTCTCCCATTTCCTGAATAACTGGAGAATGTGGTGTTAGTCAACTTGAAATGTGGGGAGTTGAGTGGACACTTCTTGCCTGACCTTTGCTTTGTGGGGCTTGTTTATCACCACTGAGCTGCTCAGCCGCTACTGCAGGTTTTTCTTTCTTTCACTTCTAGTCTAGTTAGAGATTTGTCTCCTTACTTTTCAGAGTCACTTTTCTGTCTCATCAGTCTGTTGGATGATTTTCCTGTGTTTTCTTTATACTCTGCTTATTTTGGAGTTATTCTAATTGTTCTAATTCTTTCAGAGGCAATGATTGTTTATTTGAGATTTTTCTCCAATTTATTTATTTATTAAGAAAGATTCCACTCTGTAGCCAAGAATGCCAGTTCTTACACACATGCCAATTCTCCTGCTCCAGCTTCTCAAGGGATGAGATTGTGTGAGACAGCCACCACACCCCAGTTCTCTCTGCTTTTCTCATGTCAGCCTTCATTACCATAGCATAACCTTTACTGCCTTCTCCTAAAATGGCTTGCTATTTTACTTAAACATTTTTCCACATCAAAGTCAACAGATAATGCCTTTGTTTCAGATCATAATTTCTTCTCATTGTTCATTGTATTTTTTTATTGTTTCAGTGACAATGTGTTAATGAAGTGATGAATTGGCATACCTGGATAACATAGAACTATTTAACCCAGATGATTAAAATGGCTGCATGTCATTGCGATTGTTTTGTGCTGAGATATTTAAAATTTTCACCCGTTCTGAACATCATTAACTATATTCACTATGCTGTCTGTGTCATGCTTAAAACATTTCCCCTTCCCCTCATTTTCCCCCATATAGTAATTGGCATTCTTTTAAAATATAAGCTCATGTGATATTTGTCTTCTGCCTGATTTATTTCACTTAGTGTAGTGTATACACTGTTAGTTTCAGATTTTCCTTTCCCTATTTAAGGGACTAATAGTATTTCTTTGTGTGTGTGGAGTGTGTACTCTATTATCTCTTCCTCTGATGAGTCTAACTTAAATGCATTTCACATCTTTAGTGTGAATAAAGTCACAATGAGTGTGAAAGCTACTCTTAATATTTATGTCTCCAATATCATTTTAAGTCTATCATCTGTGCTTTCTTTTAGGTTTCAACTTGGAATAATTAGGATCACTCCCTAGCAATGGGGGTGCCCAATGATTTACAATATTTTTCCCAATTCCAGTGTGTCTTTATAGTGTATTTTATAGTATTATGTAGGATTTTGGTTCCCTAGGGACTGACATGACAGCATTTACCTGAATCCTTGAATGTATCTGTTAACTTTGGTCCCTGTGGCTAAACAGTAGCAATTTTACTATAACCAATGTATCTTGTTAAGTTTGCTTGTGTGGAGTTTTGTTGTCCTGATCGAAGCATGGAACCCAGGACTTAGTTGCCGGCTGTTCTACCACCAAGATATATCTACAGTTCTACCTCTTATTAATATAATCATTATATATGCATGTGTGTTAGGAAGTACAGAATTTGCTATAATTGACATCATTTATGCGATTGATCATTGAGGCATTAGTTCGTGTACTTTAGTGTGAAAAACAGAACAGCATAATTGATATCAATTACTGGAGATTTTCTCATATGCTGAATAAAAAATGAAAACCACAGGGTAATATCAAGATGATTCATCTTTAGGATTTCACTTTTGTTTTTAAAAATCTTATACCCATGTGGTTTGTTACATTGTTATATCAGTGTGGCAGGTACCTTAGCCTCGGCACAGAAGGGCCAGTAGCCCTAGAGTTCAAACCTCTTTGCATTACCTTCTGGTTGTGCCCAGCAGGATGCCTAATCCCTCATTTGTTTTGTCTTTCTCTTGCTTTCTTATTTTTCTCTCATGTGGAGAAATATGAAGCTGCTTCTGTTTGTCAAGATATTTTAATAATACTCATTTATCTCTGAAAATTCCCCCAAATTAATATTTATGAATCACAAATGTAAACATCAGTAGTCTTACTCCATCAGAATACCCATTATCCTTTTCATGGCTCTAATCCACACTGGTGTATTTTTTACATTCTCTTTTGCTCTCCCCTTCTCTGTGTACACATCCCTAAAAAGAGTGTTTAGGTTGCTTTATTTCTCTTTCTGTTTTTTTTTTTTTAATAAATTGACTTTTATTCTTTAAAGTATACATGATCAAATACATTTCTGTTTATACATGAATGTAATAGGTCACTCACCAGGCCCCAGAAATTACCTCTTCAGTCCACTTCCAAATCAGCCAGCTTCATTCATTTTCATGACATAAGGAAACCAATATTTCTCTGAGCAATAATTATGTTTCTCATATACTTTTTATGAAAGTGTATCTGCATTAAGAAAAGTTTAAAATTGGAAATACCAGAAAATATGGGTGTCTAGTTCAATTTCTCACAAGGATCCTGAAATTTGGTACAATTCCTGTATCTATTTGATCATATTCAGAAGCACAGAAAAATGGCTTGCTCCTGATGCTGTCATAGTGGTGATATCTTGACCCTTAGGGAAAAACACTACAGACGAACAGAAACCAAGGCAAGCTCAACCAAGTCATATATAGTTTGGGAAACAGGGATAAGGAAAGGAGAAACAGCATTGCTATTCTCAAAAAACTAGAGAGGAGCAACCTCATTGTGTGCAGTGCTATAAGAAAGGGGTATTTTGGCTGGAACTTCTGCAGCTGGGAGCCAAAATAAACCAATTTGAATTGATTACCTCAGGCTTTCTGTTGCCGCCGGATTTATCAGCATTGACAACACTTCTTATCTCATGGTTTCTAAGGGGCAACAAGCCTGCTCAGGTGAGGCCATATGGGTCACAGGCAAGATGCTGCTTTGGCTGCAGTCTCTGAGGACAACTTGAATAATGGCCTAGTGAAGTGCTTCTATCCAAGGAAACAGGCTTGGAAATGGAAGCAGGAAGAAACTGTAGGACTTGCGGCTGATGGAAGAGGAGAGTATTGAAAGAGACTACTGGAAGGGGTGGGGGGCATTTTGGGGTCAGATAGAAACCTGGAGCAAGGGAGTCTCTCAGGAGTCTACATGGATGACCCCAGCTAAGTCTATTAGCAATAGCAGATACATAGCCTGAACTGGCCATCTCCTGAACAGGCAAGACTTCAAGTGGAAGGATTAGGACACCAACCCAGCCACATAAACTTCGACTTACAGTCTGTCCTGCCTATGGGATGTGCTGGGGTAAGGGTGGCCTAGAGTTTGAGGGAGTAGACAATCAATGACTGGCCTAGCCTAAGACCCATGTCAGGAGATTAAACCCACTCCTGGCACTGCCTGGAGGATCAGAATCCACAGGCTGGATGACCCAAAGCCCTAGGATAGAACCAAACACAACTAGAGAAAAAAAAAATGTCAATGTAATGATGCCTAATGATATTCTGCTATTCTCATAGATTGGTGCCTAGCCCAACTGTCATCAGAGAAGCTTCATCCAGCAACTGGTGGAAAGTCCCATAGCCAAACATCAGGTAGAGCTTGGGGAATCCTGCAGGAGAAGGGGAGAAAGGATTGTAGGAGCCAGAGGGGTCAAGGACACCACAGAAAGCTCCACAGAATCAACTAACCTGGGCTCATAGGGGTTCACAGAAACTGAACCAACAACCAAGGAGTTTGCATGGGACTGACCTAGGCACTCTCCATATATATTTTAGTTATTTAGCTTGGTCTACTTGTGGGACTTCTAACAGTGGAAACAGGGGCTGGGCTGTCTCTGACTCTTTTGCTGGCCTTTTGGATCCTACTCCCCATACTGGGTCACCTTGCCCAGTCTTAATACATGGGGAGGTACTTAGCCTTACTGCAACTTGATATGCCATGTTTGATTGATACTCATGGGAAATCTGCCCTTTCCTGAACAGAAATGGAGAAGGAGTGGATTGGGGGTGGGGTGGGGACTTGAATAGGAGGTAGGGGACTTCGAGAAGAAACTGAAATGTTAAAAAAAGAAAGAAAGAAAGAATACACTTTAGGAAGACAGCCTTCTGTCAGCAAGATTCCCATCTGGTTCTGATCGAAAAGAAACTTCTCTCAAAGGTGTAAGTCAATAATAGATAGAATCCAGAAAGTGTGGATTGGAAGAATCAAAGTGACTTCAAAAAGTATTGACGTTCTTCCAACATGGGTAGGATTTTGAATTGCTTATTTCCCATCTAATTAGACCATCAATTCAGAGGATATTGTGACAGAATAGGAGATATGGCAGTACCACCTCCAATTGAATGGAATTATAAATCTATTCCTTCTGCTGTCAGTCAGGATGTAGACATGCCTTGCTTTTAGAGGATGAATTACGAGAAGAAATCTGTAGATGCCAGGAGCAGCATATTTTTATTTGAGTTTTTTGAGATAGGGTCATTCTAATCCAAGTTGTATTCTAACTTATTAGATAGATCTGTCTATTTTCTAACATGTGGCAATCCCCCTGCCTCTGTCTATATGTTTTTATTTTCTTAGCGCCAAGGAGAAATGCCTCTTTTACTAGATAGACTTCCTCATGATTGTACGGAATGCTTTTGAATAGCTGAGATGTCGCATTATCAGCTCAAGAGTAAAGTTTACATCAAAGATACACTTCTCCTAATAATATTATAGGAGGAGATTCAGAACAAGCTCATTCTCAATTAAAAATAACTTCCAAACTCTCACTTTTGCCTAAACAGAGTTTTTGAGATTGTGTTTGATTTCCCTTTTTTCCCCAATAATGATAAGATGTAGAACATTGAATGAAACCTCAAATGAATAAACATTTTTCCTTCTGGTAATACAAAAATTGTGTTATATTCCTTTAACTGGTAAATAGATAAAGAAATGCAAATTATGGGAGAAGATTAGGGTGGTGAGTGAAATTAGCAGCTTGGTATCTGCAGCAGAAATCTCCTTACTGCCAAATATTTACCCGAAGGAAGCTAGTCTTTGCTGTCATATTTTATTAGTTCCCACAATGAACAGGGGAAAGGTCTCCTAGGAATATCTCTTTTTGACAAGACATGATCACAGTGTTATTTTGCTTTCTGTTTGTGGAAAGACAAAAATAAACATTCATTTCAGTAATTGTGACATTTTCCAAGTTCAAACATTCTGCCTATCATAAGTGAATTGTGGTGTCGAATAGCATAAATAATAACTGTGACTACCCACAACTAATTCCATGGTACGCTAAGAGGCAAAGCAACTGAATCTCAGACAGCCAATTCCGATTTCAGTATGATTTGAAAATGTAAATAACGAGTATGTGAGCTGAGGATTTTTCAGGGCTTTCTTGCTGAATGACTGTGAGCCCCATTAGTGTTTGTCTCGTGATCTCTCCCGCTGCCATTACTAAAGGAATTCCTGTTTGCTGTTTGGTGATTGGCTGACTTTGTTGCACATCCAACCACTCAAAAGTCATATTTAGACACCTACTAAACATAACATTTACCAACTGATGCATACTGATGCTGGGAGACTCACTTTTAATCTTTCATATTTCTTCTTTCCATCTATAGGACACCCAGTCAGTGTGTTCAGTTTTCAGAATGACAATGTACACATTGAAGCAGAATATTAAAACTCCAGTTCCAATCTTTTACTTCCAAGGTTATAGGAATGCTAACACATACCTCCTAACTAACACAGGTAAGTAAACTGTCAATTAATAATACCATGCCAAATATTTTGACATATTAGGGTGAATCATCTCTACCCTTTCCTTACTGAACATATTAGATTGTGAATAAAGGCCTAAAATTATTGAGCATTTTTTCCTGCCCCTTGCAATCTAATGGTTGTGAGCTAGTAGCTAATGCAAGATTCCTGTTCTCTAATTTAGTTACACAAGATGAAGGCATTATATATCTACCACACCAAAGCCAGTAACTATAGTTACTTATAATGTATGGCATGCCTGTGAATTGCTGAGAGTGGATTTTAAAATGGCCCCAACAATAGGCATAGATATATGAGGTGATGTATACAGTAATTTGCTTATTTTTAATAATTTCAAATTCACAAAAACTCAAGTTGTACATCTCAATAATACATTTGTATTTGTTAATTATATCTCAATAAAGCTGGAAAATGACCATAGAAGAGCTGAAGGAAGCAATATTAAAATAAACAGTTTAATATACATTGCAAACATCCATCACATGTTGGAGATTTTCCCATGTTTCCCAAGGTATTTGGTTCTTTCATGACATCCATAGGCATCTTCATACTTTTCAGTGTTCTCTTCTGCCTTGGCCCATTGCATCCCTCAGTCCTCTAATGTCCAGGACTGTCTACCAGCACCTTCTCCTCTAAAACACCTAGACTACTTTTGCCAAATTAATCACATGTTGGGAAAATACCCAAGCCCGTTTTCTTTGAATTCCATTCCCTTAAGTCTCCTTTCTCCCTTAATCTAGTTTCCACCACTACCTCCTTCCAAGGGGGGCTTGTGACTCCCCTTCTTATTATTCTTAGGGATTTTAAACTCTAGGTCCTGAGAGATTGCAAAGTGCACACCAATTTTGAACAATTTCGATACTCTTCTCTCTTCTTTCATTCCATCATTTCTGCTCAACAGCCACGTTGCAAATGAAACCCATATTTCTTATACGTTCTCTTTCATAGGTCAGTCTTAGACGTCTAGGACCAAATGGTCTTCCAGCTTCACCCTCTTAAGCAGCTGTCACCACAGGTATGTGTCATGATACCCAACACATAAGACTTCTTTTCTATGGTTGGTGATGGATCCTATGGCCGCACCAGATAGGTGAGGATCCTACCACTGAGCCACACCTTCAGCTGTCCAACATATTCCATCATCATCATCTGAGCCTCCCAGAGGAAGCATTATATTTTGGAGAGGTATACAACCACAAAGGCACCTACTACTTTACGTGTTAACGGAAACTGTTAGAAAACGTCTGCCATGTAAAACCCTTTTATGTCGGGAACCATTTAGATTTGGAAGAATTAAGGCATCCTCTAATATATAGCAAGAATCTCTAATCCCCATCCTTGTCAAAGAGTCGTGGAAACCTGAGAAGGTCTGGAATGGAATGCGGTCATTTTCCAGTGGAAATGGGACATTGAAGCCCAGGGTCGAGTGGTTGTGATGAAGCCCACCCACATGGCTCCAAAATGCGTGGTTGGGGCTTCTGAGGTTTTACAGGCATTCCATAATGATCAATTAGGTTTATAAGTGCATTAGAGTAGACCCTTAACCAATGACTGGTATTTTTAAACTAGAAGAAACTTTGGACACAGAGACAAAGGGGAAATATCGTGTAACAAAGGCAGGGTGGTGTTGCACACATGTGACCAGGAAATGGCAAAGCAATGCTAAAAATCACTAATAAACCAAAAGAATGCTGGAAAGACAAGGAAAGGCCCGGTTCTAGAGGTCCCATGGAGAGCACTGCTTTGCTAGCAGCTTGGTTTCAAACCTCTATTTTCATGGTATCTGCTAAGACTGCCGGGGAACATCCCAATATAAGTGCCATGAGCCATTCTATAAGAAATAGTATGTAAAGGGGAGATTTTTCACTGTTAAATCAAAGCCTGGATTCTGACATAGCACTGTGCCTTTAGATAGGTTGCTTTTATTGTTTAAATTTCCTTGTGCAGAAATTTTCCAGTAAAAATTGTAGCTTCTGAATAGGGATGCAGCCTGAAGAAATAAAATAATGGGAATGAAGTATCTGTCACAGTGCTCTTGCTGTAGTAGGAGCTGTGTGATGTTACCTACAACCTGCTCTGTGTAGATTGCTCCAGGACTTAGTGCATCAGGGAAAGGCACTTAACAATATAAAACACAACAATTCAACCTTTGCTTTACCCACAGAACAGCAAGGACTTTTGTAACTACGCTTCTGAAAAGAGTGACACATTTTCCCAGAGTCAAGCCAACCATCACTATTTCAGAAGTACATCGGCATACCAAATTCTCTCTAGCAATAACACATCACCTTGGGAATTGGACATTGCATAAAACATCACATATGCAGTGGCTTGGGATGTAAATAAATATATTTTCCCCATTAAAAAGATCCCCAGTGTAGAATTCAAGAGATATGTATTTGTGTGACATATGTACCTGCTCCTGAATTCACCACCTTGTGAAGAGTTCTTACTTGATAAGCTTCAAAGAGGAAAGAAGGTCCATGTAGACAGGATGCAGTTTCTCAGTGCTTAGAGAGACACAAGAATCCAGAAGAATACTGTAGAGGCCACAAGGTTCTTATATCAACTCATTATGTTACTGAATGAGATGGAGATTTCCCAGAAGCAACTCACAGGAAAGGTAAGAGAAGCAGCTATTAGACTTGAGCAGATTCCGCAAGTGACAAAGGTGAAGGAGATGTGAAGTCACGCTTTGAGAGATGCTAGCCTGTGTAAAACATGGAGGGCATACACTCTAATAACTGCTTTAGAATTATACATACATATACATGTTGTCACATACTGAGATTGGGAATTCTTACATGGTTTAATCTCACTTTGGATTCACAATTCTGCTTTAGTAGACTGTAGAAACCACCTGGCTTTGGTTTAGGATTTTTATTTTCTATTTTTATTTTTGAGATTTGTGTGAAGATATTAAGGTCTAAACTCCTTCAATTTGGGCTTAAGTTCATAGATAAATATTATGTTTAAAAATATAGCAGCATTCCTTCAGAGTTGTGTTTCATTTTATTTCAGGAGACGTATATGGATAAAAGACTGTTATCTACATAGTATTTAGTTAATAGTGCAACTTAAAATGAGTCGCACAGTTCAGGTTCAGGAATAAAGACTAGAGAACTGTTCTAGGTACTAAAACATTATTTTAAGGGTTGCTCTCCATCATTTCTATATATGTAATTTTCAAACATATATGCCTTAGGCCAAGTAAGTGAGCTTTTCTAGCTTTGTAGACCCAGAGTGCAAGCTCCTAAATTGATTCTAATGGGTTCCCAAGGGTGAAGATTTGTGCTTGAACTGGACATATTTATCAAAGTCTACCTGACCAAAGACTTAGCTTGGTTACAAAAAAGATTCTATTTAGGAAGAATCTGACCCACAGAACTTATCTGTCATACAATATCTGTATTTGCATAAGACAATAAATAATGAGGTGTGGTATTATGCATTCTAAACTTCACCCCCTCCCAAAAAAAAGAAGATTATTGGTGTGAAAACACCTCCAAACAAAAGTCTAAGAGGAAACAAGTGTTGTACAGAAGTATATCATTGTCCTATAAAAAGCCAAAGGAAAGGAGAAATTTTATTACAACTCTGAAATAACAGTGACCTCTCTAAAAGAGCAGTTAACTCACGGGACATTTACTTAGAGAGTAAATCATCGTCCATGTACTTAAAAATAGCTACAGAATGAATTTTGACTTAAATTGTTCTTGAGTGAATTAAGATTTCTTTGTTCTAGTAAGTAGAATTTGAGCTTGCCTGCCAATTTTGTCCCCACTTTTTCTAATTATTGTTTTTCCCAGAACATTTACACAGTTAATCCTATCATGATTGACAGGTTACCCAGCACTCTCCTTGCAAGGACACAGAACTTTGTACACATTCTTGCCCTAAGAAGATATGAATGGAAGGAAAGTCATTGATTAAACAGCTCTTGTTATAGTAGTTTCAACATGCGAAGGTAAATAAGAGAAATTAATTTGACCCAATATGCTAAAAAGCATGATGCCAGCATGACTGTGCATCAAGAGCTGTTGGACACATGGCTCTCAGCTGAGAATGGTGAATGCATGTACTCTTAGCATGAGAGAAACAGAGGCAGGAGAATTAACAAGTGTTTGAAATGCTCCTTGGCTATATAGTGAATTCTAGGCTGTCCTGTGCTACAATGTCAGATGATGTCTCAAAAAAGCAAACACAAAAAAACATAAGTAAACAACATCAGAACATATTAAGGAAATGTAAAAAAGAAATTGGTGTCCCAGCCAAATGAGTCTCCTGACATACCTGTGTACCTATACACATAAGTATATTGAAGAATATTTGAAATAAAGGGTCTTCATTTGGTGAAGATGGTGATATTTTGACACAATGATGTAATTTTGTGGGCTGCTAAAGGACCTTTCTGAGGAGACTGAATAGGCCAGCCTTCAGCCTTTGGACACAGAATATGTGATTCTCTCATCAACATATGTCCAGTGAGGTCTCCATGTGTTCTGAGATGCTGTTGCTGATGGATCATTTCTAATAGCCAACAAACATCCTCACTGTTTACAGTAGAAAACAACCGCAGACACAGGTCAGCCATCCATGACAGACCAGTTTCACAGAGGAAAATTCACTCTGCAATAGCCGATGTTTGGTATCTTCTTTACCAAGCAGAGCTTATAGAGTTGGAAAACAAAACCAAGGACTCAGGGAACAAATGATCATTTATGAAATGATGCAGAACAAATTCTAAGGGATGTTAACCTTCAAAGAAAAGTGATCGACTCTGTAAATTTAAGGATTCTATAAGCTACAACAGTTTTTTTTTTTTTTCTGAGCAGGTTTATATGAAGCAAATGGTAAATTTAACCTTTAGTAATGAAAATGCTGTGAACTGTAAAATGCATTGAAATGTTTTCTTTAATACAGGTAAGCTCCTTTATGTTATAAATCAGTAGATTTTTGTACATTTACAGACAGTCTAGTGATGTCTAAGACCATAGCATGCAAATATTATTATTTCCTAAGAAGGTCAAGAATACTTGGAAGCTTATATTGGGGATAACCAGTTGAAGAAATGTTCACATGAAGGGCAGCTTATGAAATGCTGGGACAATTGCTACAAGGATTGAGTAAAACGTGTTAGGCAGCTTCTGCAAAATGCACAACTAGATTACCTTAGGTGGTGATGGTTTTGTTATGAAAAGATGTAACACGCCTACTTTGTGTGTATGTGCATCTGTGTGTGAGTAATATGTCTGCATGTGTGGATATGCTTTGTGCACATGTGGAGGTCAAGGAACCACCATGGGTTATACAGCCCTAGCCTTCTGCCTTTTGAGGGAAGGTATCATGTTTTTCAACACTGCATACAACAGGCTAGCTAGCTGGTGGACTTTCAGACATTCCCATGTCTCTGTCTCCTGTCTCACTGTGGGAAGAATGTAGGCATGAGGTATCATTCCCTTTATACGGGATTTTCGTGTTTAAGAACTTCGGTTCTTATGCTTGCCTGATAAATGTTTTACCCACTGAGCCATCTTCTCATTCCTTAATTTAAATTTATAAACAGTCTTTGCTAATTTAAATAAAACAAAAAATACCCAATGAATACTCTCTTTAATAGCCAAGAAATCTCCTACATATTTCAGGTATTAAACAGATATGGGTATATTATGTTAATAATTAAATTAAAATAACACTGTTTTAAGTTTGCTTTAAATAAAAGCAGCAAGATAAATAGCTAAAGGAGTGAAAAATTTTATATGAGATTTTGTTTAAAGGTAGAAAACAGGTCAAATTATCTCAGAAGATAAAATTTCTAATTTTAGTGATGACTTTCCCAAACTCACAATATTTTATTACTCGAACAAATGACACACAACCTTAGCTGCTTATTAATTGATGTTTTATATTTGAACAACTTACCCATATGATTCATGTTTATTGGCCTAATAAAACCCCATCTGTGAGAACTAGATACTTCTGTTAATGCTTTCCATTTTTGTATTGCTTGTAGATTTG